GAATATATAAATACATACATATATATAGAGTGATATATATATAGATATAAAGATATATATATGTGTGTAAACATAGACAGACACAGACACAGACACGCATACACACACACACACACATATATATATATATATATATATATATATATAATATATATATATATATGAGTGTGTATATGTTTAATGTTGTATAGTGAAAATTAAAATCAATATGTACTTCAAATCCTAGCGCTTCCATATGAAATACTTTCATGATGTTCAAAAGGTATATGCGCACAAGCGCGTGTGTAAATATAAATCCATATTTTTAGCGTCTGTATAAATGAAACAACATCGCCAACCGTACAATATACATACATACCGAATTGCTGTCTAGGCACACCCGGGAGATTACCATTCATCCTACTGGTATGCAGTGAACGCGGCCCTCTGAGTGCTGGGAGTGAAAGCTTGGCTTCTGGCAATGTAGTATATGGCTGCGATCTCGCGCGGAAGCCAATCACAGAGCTCAATACACTACTCTGAGCACACTCCTTCCGCGTATTAGATCGTACAAGTGTACGTAAGGTATTGCAATGTGTGCGTAGTGGAATGTGTCGTGTCTGTGTATTTAGACTGCATTTTGGCCTGACTGCACTATGGAGGCTTCGAGTAAGCGGCTGCCCACCAAGAGCTATCCGGTTACTGTGTGTGCTGATTGCCTGTATAGCCACACAGACCGTGTTGCGCATGGTCACGTTATTATAGCTATCGATAGATGCCAAGTGCTCCAATTTAGTGTATTTATCGTGAATACTATTAAATTTAAGTATCGGATGTCTGAAGGATATGTTATTATGTGTGCATTAAATAAATACAGTAACAAAATAAGCGTTAATTTATATTTATTTAGTTGATACTTGTTGGATGTAAATAATACTGCACATGAATAGTATAAATCCCCCAGCAAGCAAACCTTATTACAGTACATACCGTTTTTATTGTGGTTCTAATAAGTTCAACTTAAACCTTTAACGTAAACGTATAGTGTAGTATTGAAATATAAATGTACTAACGCGATAAAGTTTTGTTCTGTTTATTTTAAAAATAAAATGCAATACCGAATGGGTGCCAGAGTGGGGCTGAAAGATGCTGTAGACCATACAACTACAAGACCAAAGCAAAGCAAACATTCTGTGTAAATGTAAACGGATTCATTTTCTTCTACGCGGTCGCAAAACGTTTTTTTGTGACGTATTCTCTTAGCCCTCCCTCCTGTTCAGTAAAAACAAAACGGAAACAAAAAAACTGACAAACAGTAAAAACCAATTCAGTATTATGTCTTCGGTAAAAACTATGAAGAAAAGCAACCAATAAATAGCATGCAATATTTCATATAGTGAGAATGATATCACGATGTTGACTTGACGAAGTTGACGGGCTGACGCCTGAGACGCTGATTGAGAGTCCTGAGTTGCTGACGGCTATTTGTAATCTGTATTATTGCACATGCGCTTATGTACGTAATTTTATATTTATTTATTGTGCACCTTTTTATTTACATAGCCTTCTGAGTGCGTGTTCTATTTTCAGAAGGCTATGCTTATGCTTTTTTTTTCGTTATGTTTTTAAAAACAAATGTACACAGCACAGTCCTACGGCCTGCGCAGATGTAATATCATGTATTTGCTTGTATGCAGTGCTGTCTACCTAACAAAATTATAAATAATGCATGGGTGATGGGATAGCTTGATAAGCATTGATACGTATTTGATACGCATTTGATACTCATCGTCTCTACATTTTGAAAATACTCTTCAACACAATGAATATTGATTTTGTCGAAAGGCAGTCCCAAATCGAAGGTTTGTCCGAGGAGATCTTGGAGGCCAAACATCAGGTGAGTTAGCACACACTCTTGAATATATACCATATTGATACGGCCCAAACCCTACACGCTGATTACATAACTACTATTTTGATGATTGTTGGATTAGGTATTTGGAATTATATAGATGTATGTATATGGCGAATGACGCATATACGTGTAGACCATTAGGAAGATTTGTTTAGGTCTATTTATATCTACATTGATACGTGACAAATTATGCCAGTGGACTTCGATGGACATGAATACAGATTCCCCCCACGATGAAAGTTCTATATGAATTTATGTATATATATTTATAAATATATATATATATATATATATAAAATACAACCATGCATACATCTATATACATTCATACAAACATACATACATACATACATGCATGCATAGATATATATATTTGTTTGTATGT